TTAAATCTATTGGATTATTTCCTAGTATCGATAAGATCTATTCATTACATTTAAAACAATGTTAGACCAATATATGTTGACGGAAGGCCAACTTGCCGAGTACAGATCGATGTAGTTGGATCATAGGAATATAAATTAAAATATTGATGTTGTAAATGAATTGTGACACCCCAAATAAAAAGTGATCAAAAGTTCTATCTTCAGTGTTCAGCAGCACTTAAGTATTGTCAGTGGGAGCTGAAAAATGGGCCTCTGGGAAACTGCTGGCAGCGACAGAGGCAGAGACACAGCTCGGGGTCATGTTCCCTATTAAAATCGACTTAAGTAAATTAAAAGATGCAATAATGTTAATCATATCATAACTCAGGTCCCACAGGGAAACAGATGGTTGACAAAACAGCCGCAAACATCATGAAGTGCATTCAAACTCTGCAGTTCAGAGAGGTTTTCTGTCTCTGGGGATCATGGAGGGAAAGTATTTGACAGCAAGGGAACACTCTGACACAAATACACAAGTTAAACGCTCAAAGATTGAACTTAGAGTTTTGTGGATTCCTGTTACACTCCCAACATACAAACAGATTAGGAAACGTGGTACACTGCAAAATCATCTGGCTGATTCAGCACTGATTTACAATGGCCTTCAAGGGCGGTGGTGCAAATATTTAAGAAAGGCGATAAAAAAATCCATAACAGTGAATTAAATACAAAAAAATTTAATAACTTCCCCATCATTCATTTCTGTCATTAAGTTAGATGATAGGTCATTTTCTGATGAAATAAGACAAGAAAATAAAACATTAACAACTAACCTTCAAAGACGACTCCCTCGCTTCTTCCCAGTCGAGATTTCCATAAACAGGAAATGACATGAGGTTGTTGCTATTGGTGATTTCAAGTTGTACCGGGAAGTCGGGATTTCCAAGCTCTGAGTCGGGACTTTCAAGTGGAATGACCCCCGAGGTCGGATTTCCGACTCAGAAAGTCGGACGATCCTCACCGAGTGTAAAATGGTGACAACGGCTAACAACAACTGACTACGGCTAACAGCAGGCATCCATCTTGGTTTTCCGACTTGTTTACTGGAATTCCATCAACTCGGATGTAACGTCATTCCCAGCTCCGACGTCCAACTTCTGAGGTAAATTGAACGCAGCATATTTCACTTAAAGCGCTTCAGTTTCAGCCAATCACAGTCAGGTAGTCTGTTTCTACCCTTCAGTTGCAGTTAATTAATCCATAAGAACGAAGTTAAATAAATGTCTTTACTGGTTTTTTAAGTCTGGTCAGAACTCCTGAATCCCCCTAAAACATGAATTTATTGAAGCTTGAAGTTTTTACCACACTGACTTTGATGCAAGTGTTTATTTCTTGGAGAGAAGTTTACTTGTAAGTAGCTATTAGAGATGATTGATTGACAGCTCCGTTGACAAATTTGGGCTCCTGCAGCATTTCTTACCTGATAAGCAGAGTAGAGGAGGATTAAAAACTGACATCAGTCCTTCAGCTCCAACTGCAAAAACATTCCTGTACATGCCTTCACATCACCATTTCAAAATATATGCATTATTGCAATGTTGTCTGGACACCATGCAGCTTTTATGGAAGCAAACCAGTCCTACAGTAACCTTCAAGAAGGATCAAACTGACCAGTTGGAGTATGAGGGACATAATAATTGATGAAAACATTTAGAGGTTGGCCATGATGTTTATTCTCTGTTTACAGTTTTAGGCAGTCAAGGATCTGAATAGCCTCCTTGGTTTTTAAAATAGTTAATTCATCTGTGCTCGCTGTGGCCAGTTTATATATGATTCTCCATCAGGACAAATCCCACCAGTTAAAAATATTCTTGATCTCAGCTGATACTTAAGCTGTTTGTTCCATCTCTTCAAATTCAATCAGCAAATGTGGAGGACTCTGGGTTCTGCCTGCCTCTTCTGTTAAGTTGGGAATGAACAAAGCAGCTGAATGAATGCTGACACAGTTACATAAGCGCATAACAGCACGCATGCACGCACAAACAAACACACACGAGAACAACTCTATGTTACATTTTGCTGCCTGCAGTCTGTCATTAACCTTGACAGTATTTCCACTGTGACCCCCTCCCCATCTCTCTCTCTTTCTCTCTCTCTCAGGCTGAATCAGGATTGATGTAATATCAATACATAGGACAAATATGGGATGAGTCAATGGGTCACCAAGGTTGGGAATCATACAGATTTTCCACTTTTTAATCAGTAATTTACTGTAAAAGTATACTAAGAGAGTAAAGTATGAGTGTTCACCAGGCTGAGTACATTAAAGATCAGAGTCTACTGTATGAGTAAAAATGTCAAATGAACTAGCTGACACGAGCCTGGTTACACTGCAGTCTTGTGGGACATGGATGTTGACCCTTGACCCTCACCAGAGTCATGTTAGTTAGCTCATAGAGGGGACTAGTGACATGATTTAAAGTCTCCACCTCATTAACCAAGTCATGTTGAGTGTCTATGAGGGATGGAAAACTTCTGTTAAACACGACACAGTGAGCTTTATCTGTTAGGGAGCTTTCTATCATGGAGGTAGAGATGCAGAGGAACCAAGATGTTTGTTAGTTATACCAGATTTTATATTTCTTACCAGTATTTTCCTGTTAGGGAGGAACTCACACTCCTAAAACCTGAGTAACTTGGCAGTGAGTAACAGCTAAAAATGTGTCAAATCAAGAAAGATGTGCATCTACAAATTGCATATACATTTTGTTTTCTTTGGGAAACCTTTTTTGTTTTTTGCAGTTTCTTTTCAGATAATGCTTGTTTTTTTAATGCGATTTTTTTCAACTCAAGCATCTCCTTATCTTGAAAAAACATCCCTGATTTTCAATGATACTTTAGTTTCTTTTCTTTTTTTTTACCTCGATTTGTTTTTCTCATTTTCTTTTGTTTACAGTATTAGTTTTCTCATAACAGATTAATTAATCTCATTATCTCAAGAAAACAGACCCTTTTTTCTCGATGATAATGGGATAATTTTCTGGCACTTGAGAAACAAACAAATGGGCTGCACTGGGATAGGCCCAACCATAACATGCTACGCTGCCTTTGCCCGAACTAATGAGGTTAGTTCAGTCTCATTTATGTTTTTGTTTTTTTTTTTACTTTTGCAACTCTTGAAGAATAGATTGTGTTGTATAGGGAACGGAAAACAAAAATACACTGCTTCTAGACAACAGAGCCAGTGCTACGGTCACTTCATCACACATAACTTTGACAGAAAACTAACAAATATGTGGAGTCTTAAACTACAACTGAAAATGAAACGTCAACCTCAGACCCACTCTGATGAAAGTCATGTTTTTCTTGTTTTTTACATGTTCATATGGCATTGTTCTGATGCCAGAGGACATATGATGAGAAAACTAAGTGCGAAATTGCAATTCTGAGTATTTCTGCATTCAAATCGCTGTGAACCTCTGGCAGACCCAAACAGCAGGTTCAGACACAGTGAGATTTCGTACATCACAACTGCAAGCTCCACCCCCTGAGCCCCGCTCAGGTAACATAGCTCCTATGTTACTTGCCACTTCTACTACACCTGCAATGTTAGGCTACAAGCCAGCATGAAGAGGCGTGTGCAGAGCTGTCTCCGCCCATGACTCAAAGGTAAATTGCTAATGAGCTACTGGAGCTCTGCAGAAGAAAAGCCCTTAAAAATGACACACGTAACATGATTTGGGCGAAATTTTGGCTATTTTGGCTTTAAGTGAAAAAAGAAAAAAATACGATCGGAGTGGGACTTGAAACAGCAACTTTTACAATAGAGTTCGTGCCAACACATTTTTACTGCATGCATAAAGAGGCGCAACTTTCAGGTACAACAACTTCCATAGTTTTCAAGTGTTTCATTAATTTGTAAGTGATTGTCTGATGACCAAATCAATCTTGTCAACGATGGTATAGACTCTATGGGTGCTTTCAAAACAATCAACCCCTCCTGATATTTTCATACAAACCGTGGAAGCTCAATTCTTTGGCAGAGTGTTATCGCTCTGCCATCTGGATCCAGTCTAATTTTGAAATAACTTCAAAAGTTTGTGTGCAAGACAGAATCACATTTTTGTTACTTAAAGCAGCAGAGCAGTCAGCCTCAAAGGCGCTGCACTTTTACTTTGTTGTTTTCTTTCTCAGATAAGACTAATCTTAAGGTGTATTTTACATTTTGGATATATTGACTCTTTCTGAATGTTTCTTTCTTAAAACAGGGCAAATACATGGATGTGTGAAATGAGATCAGACACTGGACTAATCTCCTCACACTCCTGAATCTTACCTTGCTTAACTCAGCCGGGATACCTCTTTGTAAGGCGATACTTTGAAGTGTTTCTTAGGGATCAGACTGTTTGGCTTTGAGGTCATGAGTTTTATTAAACCTTTTGTTTGGTCTTGCTTATTTTTTTTGCCTCCAGGTTGAAAGCTGATGAAACAAGCTCCAACAAAAAGACTCGTGAAGAGGTTATTGATCATCATTCAGGTCTCTAAATTAAAAGGCAGGAAGTAAAAGCTGTTTGCCAGAGAATAAAATATGTTTCAAGTCCAACTTTAATTGGACTTTGAATATTTTCCTTGTGTGTCCACTTTCTGTCTGGATTAGCGCTCACATTTAAGTTAAGATACGAGTGAGAAAGCAAAGGAAAAGGACGTGTCAACTGTCAAGAGGCTGTCAGGTTATGTAAATGCAGATTGAAGGCAGGAACACGGTCCAGGACACGATGCTCAGGGAGCTGGAAAAAAGTATGCGTCACTGTTTGAAATCAATCCCCATCGATCCAGTTCAGCGACATGATCTCCCAATAGCCAATCAGTGTCAAAGGTACACGCACGCACGCACACACACACACACACACACACACACACACACACACACACACACACACACACACACACACACACACACACACACACACACACACACACACACACACAGTTTTTGAATAAACTCAGTAAGCATGGCTGAAAAAAAAGTACATACATCTTTATTTTACAAGAAGGGCACATTAATTTTTTTTTGTACAAACTGTAAACTAAATACTGTAGTTATTCTGAAGGGAGGTTATAATCTTTGACATCACTTTCATGAATAAACACCAGAAACATGTAAATAAATAAATATATAAATAGCCAGCAACTGTTACTGCAAAATTATAATCCCACATCCGAGAAAGAAAGAAAAAAAAAACATACAGCATGTAAATTTTCTACGCACATTAAAGTTTTTTTTTTCCAAAGATAAAAAGCACTTGTGTTCTCCATGACTACATTTGAACATCATTGTACAATACTCATTTCCTGCACCCCCTTCCCCCCAAAACCCAAAGTACTGCAATGTTATTTTTTACATGAAGTTATCGAGGTAGGGACTCGGTTATTATCTTGGACGGTTTAGAAGAGTCGAAACATCCCTTGAGTCCCTTGGCCGGTCTTTGTTGGAGGAGTTGCACTGTCAGTTTAGCTTAAGCTGTCATATGTCGTGTAACTACACTGATAGAGAGTCTGTAATCTGTCACTACAGCTCCCCAAAGCAACATGTAGGGTAGCCCGGCAGAGGAACCGCTCCGGATCAAACCAAACATTTTGCTTGTGGGACCGTTGCCTGACATCGCCCTCCCTCCTCTTGAAAATCAAAGCAGTGGCATCTGGAAAGGGATGACTCATTCAGCTGACAAGGTGAGGGCTCGAGGGGGGTTACACAGAGCCACAATACTGCACAGTTTTCAACTCTCAGCTGGAGGTATGTTTCTATTAATGTAGCGTATCTGAAATATAACCCCTGGAAAGCCTGGAAGTGCCAATCATGTCCAGAGAAATGGATTTAATCTCTAGATTTTGAAGAGTGACTCCCTCCCTCCCTCCCTCCTTAAGATTCAGCTTATAAAACACTGGTAAAATCACAATATAAACTACAGAACAGCCACATTCAGCCAAAAAAATCATTTTGGCAACAGCAATAATATAGACATACTTATAATAATCATAACAAAACTTCTTCCAGGTGGGCCTTTCGATGCAAGAGCAGCATTTTGACTCAAACTGCAGTAGAGGAACAGTAGGTCCTGTCTGTTTAATAATAAATTCAATCTGTGCTAACATCGAGGGCGCTCATCGAGTCGACAGAGGCAGCCAAGAGAAAAGAGAAAGAGACGGAGAAAAAGGGTGGGGGTGGAGGGGAGAGGGATGGACGAGAGGCGGACAGATCTTCCCCAAGGCGTTTCCTGTCCATGTCTAGTCCTGACAGGTTGTGTGCATGCCATGTTTTAATAGTATGTTTGAGATTGTGTTTGCATGTAATCTGGTGGTAAATCGGGAAGAACTTACAAAGACAGAAAAGGGAGATTGAATGATCTGATACAGGAAAAACAAATGGGATTATATGGAAGAGGATGTTAAGATATTTCATGATCTCTAGAAGAAGGCTATTAACTCTTCAAAAAGTATTGTGAATCCCAACTTCAGTTCGTCAATGTCCATTTGAAAAATATCGGAGCAACAACCAGTGGGGAGCTGAGGACAGAGAAGCAAAGGGACAATGGGTTGCCATTGTGTCACAAGCCAAGCCACCTATTGAGCTAAAAGCTTTCCACCCCTTTGTTGCCATCAAGATAGAATTGGATTTTCCAGAGCAGGAAAATCAAATGCTTCATTCAAGACCAATTGCTTTCTATCGGATTAGCTCTTCCTTTCCCTGATGCCCAACAGTTTCACGCCTTCATGGACACACACAGCACACAGTGGAAGTATTGCATACAATGTCAGAAAGCATGCTGCAGAGCGTTCTTCCCTGCCAACACCCAACACGACACGACAGATATCTAGCTGCACAGGCTTCGACTAGAGAGCTAATTATGTCTGCCTGTGATGATAATAGATGCCACCCATACACTTTGCATGTATTTAAAATATGAATAAGCACAGAGTTCAGCCTTTAAAGCAGCACAGCAAACTACAAATGTCTTTGACATTATGCATCCTTTTTCTAAAAGCGCATATTCTTGAATTCCTTCACTAAATGTCTCAAAAAGAGGGTAAACTTAAAGATTTCAGAATGAGGTTCATATTGATGCCTCTATACAGCCTACAAAAGCAAACCAGACAATGCAATCTTTAGAAAACTGCTCACAAAGATTTGCAGAAAGTGACAGATTAGACTGTCTTAAATTAACATTTCAATGTTTCATGAGATCAGCTGAAGTTGTATCAATCTGTCTGCAAGGCATTTATAACAGCAAGAAAATTTAAGATCCTGACTTTGACACATTTGAGAAGTAAAGGTAAATCAATTTTCATCTGACAGAAGAAATGTGGAATTCTCAATGAACAAAGTTTTCCAGTTTCATATCCTGGTAAATTCTCCCTCAACAGACACAGTTGTTCAGCTTTGACAAAAAGTTTATGCTAGCCAATGCATGGTAATGTCTGCAAAGTTAAAATCCTTTTTTTCTGACAATTAAGCAGATGTGACAGAATCAGTCATAAAAAATGTAAAGCTCCTGTGAGAAACTTTAAATTTGTGTCAATTTTGGCACCCCCTGTGGACAAAGTAGTCTTGATTCAGCAGTGTCTTAGTAGGGAAATCCATTCTGGTTGGCTTTTGACATCTAAATGCATTGTTTGTTTATTTGGGGGGAGCATTTAATGAGGAAATTATAAAAACATGGCTATTTTTTCAGCTGCTCGGCAAAAACCTTGCCCCTTGTGCTGATTTCACGTTTAAAAAATGATGATATAAAAATCATCAATCGTGTTGCTGATGGTTGAGTTTGCTTTTGGACATTAGCAAAAGGCTCCAATGTGAACTTCAGACTGTTTCATAGATGTCTCAACTCCTCAGAGTAGCTTTAAGGCCACAGTAGCGTTGTACGCATTCGGCGGGAGAGTCGCAGTAATGATGCTCCGCTCAAACAGCGTATCCCCGGGTGAGCTACGTAATCTTTGTACGCCCATAGGCTGTATCAGGTGTCAATCATAGAAAATATGAACCCCCTAATAACTTTAAAAAATGAAGCTGTACAGAGAAAAGAGGACTTGAGCACAAACCAGTCTGACAGTAACTACATGTTAACATCACAACCAGGGGGGAGAAAATGTTATATTCTGAGTAATTACTTTCTTAAGTTTGTCCACAGCTCCATAGGGATTGCTGGAGGAGGCTGGATTTGTGACCTATACTGCAGCCCATCACCAGAGGGTGCTGTTCTCACTGAGGCTTCGCCCAAGGAGGAGGCAGACGGTGTTCATTCTATATACAGTCTATGGAAGCAACTCTTCAGGACCAACTGAATGGAGAATGACAAACTCAATACCAAAACTTATTATTACAATTATTTATCTTTTCTTTAAGTGGAATGATTGATTGTGTCTTTATTTCTTAAAATACGATCAAAAGCAGTTTACTGGAAAATGAAATGTCCACTATCTCCATTGTGATCCTCATCATAGTGGCTCGTCTAGGACTCTTTCCCTTACAAACGGAGCAACTGTCACACTGCTTCACAACGCCACTACAACACAGCATGGCTCCCAGCATGAGCAACAATTTACAAAATCAGATATCTGCAAGTTTGCAAAAGGTCACCAAGTGTCCCTTACATTACGGCTGACTGAACTCCACTGGGGTGCCTCCTCTGTCCAAAAGAACAGATTTACATTCCCTTTATTTTTTCTTAATTATAGATAGACAACATCTGCCAAAAATAGCATCACTATTGCTGCTTTAAGTGGTCAGCATAAGGACTTAAAATGGAGGACTGCCAAAGGGAAAGAGAAGAGTTATAGTGCAGGTGTAAAGGACCTGGAGGAGAGACAAGCAAAAGGGTTGACAAGAGAAGAGAAATAGGGGCAGTAGATGAGGAAAGGGACTCTGCTGACTGAGGAAATTAGGAAAAAAGAGGAGAAGGAGGGGAGATTGCAGGGCCCTAGAGAGGGTTTGCTGGAAAGCAACAGAGAGGAGAGACAATGATAATGAAAAAAAACAGAAAGAGAAAACGATAGAAACTTCAGATCAGGTAGAGCAATCGGTCCTATGTGGGCATGACTGAGGATGCTCTTTCTATCCTTATCTCTCCCTTTCAGACAAAAACTGAGTAAATCTGGTTTGAAGCAGATGGAGCATGATTGAGGGTCATATAAAAAAAAAGAAAAAAATCAACTTTTAGGAATCTCCAGCGCTGCCCTGTCTGTTACGTTTGATTGCCGTCACTTTGGTGTTTGAGCGACTGAAATAAATTATCACAGCAAAACAGATGCTTTGTCGAGGAAAAACCCGCTATGAGCTAACTAAACTGCACCAAAACCACTTGACTCATATTGCTCCCTCTTCCATGAAACACATACAAAGCACCTACTTACAAGACGTTTTGCTAATAGTAACTACATTTTCCTTCACGTACTGTGTAAGAGTTTGTCCAGGGTTGTGTCAGTACTGTACAATACACATGCAGATGTATACATCTTTGTACATTGGGAAAAAAAATGTATACATGTGCACACAGTTCTGCTTTTATATTCACATTATCAACATTTATCATCAAATGGGACAATTTCATCAATAAATGCTGAGTGTATTTTGCAGATAGTTATTTCCAGGATAAAGTGCCTTTACTTTGACATTCTGTAGGTTTTTGTTGACAGTCTGAAGGTCCCATATATCCCACTGTGTTGTTTTCCTGTCAAGCATGTTCTTAAAAGTCTCATTAGTTTCCTTTGCTGTCTCTCTGAGTAAGTGTTTCTTCCCTTTTTATGCACAAACATGCCTCTGATCCGACTTTCCTCAACATGACACAGCTTTATGTTGTCCGTTCTGCGTGATGGGATTGATCTTTTCCAGTGTGACCTCTGTATCGCTGTCTAAATTCCCAGAGATAGCTGGGGAGAGTTTGTCCAGTGCATTGTTTACCATCCCCACTTCGATCTCTCCTCCACATCCATCCTTCTTCTGTAACTCCTCCTGGGACAGGATGCTGTGGGGGATCACGTAGCTGGCTGAATTGTTGCCTTCCTTGGGGATGTGACTTTTGGGTTGATACTGACAATTAGGGTTCGAGGTAGGGGCGCCCATGTTGTTGTTAATACTGACAATCTCTATGGCGTTGCTCCCCGGGCAGAGCCGATGGCAGCCCAGGAGAATGGAGAAGGCCTTGCGGAAGTCGGCATTAAAGGCATAAATGATGGGGTTGAGGGAGGAATTTGCCCAGCCGAACCACACAAACACGTCGAATATGGTGGAGCTGATGCAGGGGAACTCTGTGGAATCTTCCGGCACCTCGCAAAAAGGAATTATGCAGTTGAGGACAAAAAAGGGCAACCAGCAGCACACGAACACTCCCATGATGACCGAGAGTGTCTTTAAGACTTTGGTTTCTCGTTTGAAGGACATTTTGAACGAGCTTTCACTCTCCATGTTGGAGCTGTTCCCCATGCTGCTGTGACGGTTTTTGGCACTCTCAGCCGCCCGCTCCAGGGCAGATATTCTCCTGATCTGTTTCTGGGCAATGCGGTAGATGCGGGTGTATGTCACAAGCATGATAGCCACAGGGATATAGAAGCTGATCAGGGACGAGGAGATGGCGTAGGTCCTGTTAAGGCTGAAGTCGCAGTTGTCGGGAGGCAGATCTTCTGGGAGCGTTCCGTTTAAGTCTACGTAGCTGGTGGTCTGAGCTTTGTGCCAGTCAAGCTGAACGGGAATGAAGGAGATGAGGATAGACAGGGTCCACGCCACACTCATCATCAAGCACGCCACTTTTGGGGTCATCTTGCGCTCATAGCGGAATGGGCTCGAAATGGCCCAGTAGCGGTCGACACTAATTACACACAGGTTTAAGATGGAGGCAGTGGAGCACATGATGTCAAACGCCACCCACACATTGCAGAATGCACCAAAAGGCCAAAACCCCATGATCTCCATGGCTGCCTTCCATGGCATGACCAAGATAGCCACCAGAAGGTCGGAGATTGCCAGGGAGATGACGAAGAGGTTGGTGACCTTGGACCTCAGGTGCCGGAACTTCGTGACGGCAACACATACAAGGGTGTTGCCTAGCAGCGTGGTGAAGATGAGGAGGGAGAGGAAACATCCTGTCAACACACGTTTGGATGAGTCTTTCTGTGCCAGCATCTGCTTGCCATCTCGAACCGTTGAGAAATTCTGATCCATTGTTTCTGTTACACACTGCTAATAAAGTGAGAGAGGGGGTGGGTGAGGGGGGTGTCAACAGTCACCCCATCACATCCCCAGCCTGCAGCAGCTGTGCCTCTCTGGGGAGGAGTTTTAGGCGAACGGTGTAACCGCTGGGGAGGTCAACTGTCTTGGCACCAGCTCTCCCACTGACTGGGTCATCCATAGGCTTCTTGTCACGACCACCATCCTTGCACAAGAGCTGTTGATCAATATTTCAGGGAGATTCCTTCAGAAAATCGCCTCTCAAAAAATCCTGGTAGGAAAACTCTTGCAGCAGCAGCAGCGGCACGAGCAGCAGACATTCTAGTTTGAGAGGAATGAGGGATAATCCAAACTTTGTTTGCAGATTGTTTTTAAAAATCACTCTACATGAAAAATACTTTAGGAATCCAGTTCCTTTTTTCTCCTCTCACTGTATGCCTCTTTAGTCAGAAAGTTTGACATCATATTGTTGCCGAGCTGTTGAGTAAACAGAGGCTGGGCCAATCATTAGCCTTATATACCACCTCATCAATAATCTCTATTGATGTTTTTGGCGCTGCGTTTATCTGATTTGTTTAATGATCCTCGAGGCGTGTCTGTGTGATTATATTGGTGCATGTACTGATGCACCGAAGCTGTAGGTGTTGCGTTTAATTTCTATATTTTTTTATTTTGGATTTTTTTCAACGCTGCTCCCCTCACTCCGTGAAACAGTCTTCAGTCGACGTTTCCAAAAGCAAAAAAGAGTGAAAACAGAATTCAGAAGAGGAAGAAAGTCCAGAGATTCACCTTCAATTTCTATTTCGCCACACAAAGGGAAAAGAATTTACCTTGCAGTTTTGTTTGCGCTCAGATCCAGATGCGAGGTGATTTTTTTCCCCCTTTGGTTTAGTTCGCGTGCCAAAATATGTGGACGCAGCAAAACGGCCGCTCCGCTTCCAAAAACACATTCAAGACCTATTTTTACCATCCACATAAATCATCCTCGGCAGATCATCCAAAGCTTGGCGTGTTTGACATGGAGGCACAGTCTTATTTCTTTCTTTAATTTGCCCAAATTTGAGACAGCGTGCGCTGCGCTCTGTGCGTGCGGGCAGATGCTGATCCACAGCAATGTCTCCAAGAAGTGCGTCAAAAATCCCTTAAAAAACTGTCTCGGAAAAGATTATACTAACATATCGTCCGTCTAATTCCGTGTTTTCCCTGCATGCATCCAACTTGTATCTTGGTACCAAACGAAAGAGAAGGAGCTCACCCTCTCTGCGCTCTCCTCCATGGGGAGTCAGTCACGCTCCCTCCCTGCTGTCACGGTCCTCAGGTGTTTTTTTTTTTTATCGGTCCTTTTTTAGAGTCGTCCTTTACACTTACAACAAACAAAAAACAGTTACCCAGTCATGTGTCTGCGGTCCGCCTGTGCCGCCGGAGACTGATGGGAATGACTCTGGTCTCTCCGAGCCCGTTTTTCATGCGCGCTCCTCTCTCTCCGCTCAGCTGCTGTGCGCCACGGTGTGTGCCACCACTGTTCCATCTAGCAGGGAGGCTGAGAGGAGAGAAAGGCACCTTGTTTCACTGTATAGAGAATGAGTTTTCTCAAGAGTTAACTCTCAGAGGAGTTTGTAATGACATATAATAACATCCTTTATTTTTGACATGATGTTGAGTTTAAGGAAGGGTAATTATCGAGGAGGATATTTTCCTGTCAGCTAAACTGGGTAAAAGTACATCGCCAAAAATAAGAAATCCAAGTTCTATTACTCCCATAAAGTCACCAAAAGTGAAGAGGAGCGAAAATAAAAAAGTGCCTGGATGTCCTGAGATGAACTTGTACCCAGCAGGCATGCACGCAGAGGCACAATGAGGCCATCTACTGGATGTAAAGTAGTAGGAGGTAATGTGGGAGTCGGGTATGTGGAGGTGGTGGGTGGGAGGAGGCATTAACCTCACCTCACTAAACATGACTGAACATCACTGAATTAGATTTAGAGTCCCATGAGCCCCTGCTGCAGGAAGCAGACCCATGAAGTAAAAGACACTGAGGGTTTGGATATGTTTGTGTGTGTGTCTGTGTGTGTTCAGGAGATGAGGGGGTATGGATGTAAATTACACAGGCTAATGTTATTACACCGCTGGCTGCCTGGCAGGGCTGGCAAGTGTGTATGTTAACTATTTAGTGAGCTGGAATCCTGAATGGACTGTTTCCGCCTTTCCGGTGTGTGTGTGTGTGTGTGGTCATGCGTGTGTGTCTGACTTTGCATGTGTGCATCTATGACTCTGCATGTGGCTTTGTTGCAACTGTGTGTTTGCGGATAAATACACATATTTGTTCGCACTTGTGTGTGTGTGTGTGTGTGTGTGAGAGAGAGAGAGAGAGAGAGAGAGAGCATCTGTGAGTAATGCATGTAGACAAGCCAAGTGTAAGAGGCCTGGCAGACACAACGCCCACATTTCCCTGTAGCACTGAGCCAGGGTGTGCGTGCAGCCGACAAAGTTCAAACCAAGACCACGTCACATACAAACACACACAAACACAGACTTGCTCACTCACTCGCTCGCACACGCACACACAACCAGCCATGCAGGGTAATTTATGTCTGCTCCAAAAAGCAAACAAAATAGAATTGAATTGAATAGAAGTAAGGCGAGGTAGAAGTGTCTCTTTTGGATGACTTTTTGCCACAGTTATAAATCTTTAATTTCTCTGTCAGACCTCCTTTATAATCGCTAACAGTTTTTGATCTATCATGGTAGCCTACATTTAAAATAAACAATAAAAAACTGGAGCATTCAGGCATGGGAAATATCCATTTAAATCAGCAGAAGTGTATTTCATCAATGGATCATTTAATTATCAGCCTATCAATCTATATAATATGTGTTCAATTACAACCAAAAGGAATCACATGACACCCAATACTTGGAGATCCATCTACGTCCTATGGACATATGGAAACAGTAGCCATGTTTACATGTGCAAAATGTCTTTATCCGATTAAGAATGTGAGGGATTGGATAATCTGAATCCACTGTTTATACGGGTGCAAATCAAATTACCCAAACATGACCTGCTTACACATGCAGTTTTATTCAAATTAGAAGCATTTGGACATGTGCGGAGTTGTCTGATTTCACTAAAACCGCAGAAGAAGAAGAGTTGTATTTATGCCTGTGGTGTCAACAAACCAACAAACGCAGTCGTGGCTCACTCCATCCAATCCAACAAACTTCAAATTGACTGTTCTGGGACCTATGAGACCGATGTGAACCTACTGGTTTAGATATTGCAGGGATTTTGCTGATGAAACAAAGACACAAAGACAAGTTACCTTCTTCCCTAAGTGGCTCTTCTTACCATTCTTCAGACTCTCAGTTATTGCAGGTCGTGAAAAGCAGTAGATAGAATGATGCTAGTCTCTGTTGGGGTATTGAGGTTTTAATATTAAAAAAGGTACAGACATTTCTATTAAAACTGCTGGCAGAAAGGGTGTGCTAAGTAATGTTGCATCACTTTGTAGCACACAGATGAACGAATACTCAGCCTTTGAATCAAAACATTATTAGTTTCGGAGTGAAGTATACACCCCTGAATGGATTTACCAAATGCTAATTGACAACCTTCATTTCCAATTCAAATCCGATGCAATAAATTCACACCCATAAAAGTAAAACTATTTTAGGTTACAGCTTTTTAATGATCCCTGAAGGCACTTGGTTTATTTTACAACAAATGGGTAATTGCCTTAAGACAGCAGGGAATTCTACGATCTCCCTGGGAAAATTGCTTTTAGAAATGCTGCAGTACTACAGCGTAAAGACAGAATTTCATCAGGCAGGCTGGCATAACCAAAGTCAAGAGAGCAAAACAGACACAAACATAGCCAGAAGCTTTTTGGCAGACTCTGTCACTCAAAAACTGTCTGAAAAAAACATCAGCGATGCAGTGTAAACTGATTTGATGTTGACTGTAGGGATTGTTTTTGTGTAATACAGGAAATCTCATCTACAGCCAACAGCAAAAATAAAACATGAGTGGAAAATGACAAGATGTCTGGAGAGGCGATCACAGCAACGCACTGTTTTTCACATCTGACAGCAGTGTGGGGTTATTCCCTGTGATATGACCGAATGAAAACTGTATTTGAAAATGAGGGCTGCTCATCTCTGAGTCGGGCTTTTCAAATCTTTGTCAAACACACTATAACAAGGTATGAGGCAGCTTCTCTTTTATATAGGTTTGTCTGTGTCTGGGAGGAGAGAAGGACAAAGGGAATTTAGGGACTGATCCATGACAAGATACCACCGCTTTGTCAGTGTGACATCCATCAGGTCCAAGGTTTTTGTTGTTACTCTGGAGCCTTTCACACCTCCAGACATCCTCTATAAAGAACAAACATGTGTTTCGTTCATCTTACCTCTGAGATTTGCCAGCCTAGCTGTATCTGTCGAGCTCCTCTTGGTGCAGGAGGTCACACGGGTTGTTTGACTGATTACCATTGGCTGATTATATTTTAGTGAGGACCACTTTTGTCAAAATGAATCATTTATTGCAAGTAAGTTTTTAACGGACTGTAAAGCACTTTGTGTTGCACACTTTTGTATGAAAGGCACTATATAGTTATAGAAGTTTGATTTGATTTGAAGTGTTACAATTGGCTCTGTTCTGAGAGCTCCCTGCCCTTCCATATGCTTGTATGGAATTATGGAATGCCATGTAAGCACATGAAGGCCTTGCCAGCCTTCATGTGTTTACATGAAAGCATCGACAGGGGAGGGAGAGCAGCAGCCAAACAGCAAAGAACTTTAAAACAACCTACCCACCTCCATAAGTTTGCATATTAACATCAGCAATTTGAGCATCACAGAGGGCTTGAGCCTCGGGGTGGAGGTCACGGAGGCAACTGGACCATAGCCTTGAGCATTGAGACAGAGATGATAGAAGATGCAGTCTTGCTGCACCACATCTGGATCTGGAGTCGAGCAGAAAACCAAGCTCTGGATAAAGGTTTCCCCTCCACCATGACAAAGAGAGGCTCTTGCTGGCCGGCTGCTCAGGTAGCTGAACATAGCGGATAAAGGACAAAAGTCAGAGTTAGACAGAGAAATAAAAATACCTGTTCCATTTATAGAGTGCTTTAGAAGTAGAGTGAAATAGTGTCGCCTAAAGTCCCACTCCAATCTTCTTTTTATTACTTAAAGTGTTGTCAGTGGTCTTTAAATTGTGATTATGAAGTTTTTAGCCAAATGGCATGAAAGTTAATATCACAATTACCTTTCTTACTAAAATTGCAATCCGCTAACACACGCTTGTTCCGTGATCGTCCTCTCGACTTCTCAAAGTCTGGCCTGCATAGCTGGACTCTGGGGGCGGAGCTTGCAGTGTGACGTAGGAAATCTCACTGTGTCTGAACCTGCCGTTTGGGTCATTGAGAGATTCACAACAATTTGAATGCAGAAACACTCAGAAATGCTATTTTTTGCACTTCATTTTCTCATGGTATGTAAATCTGAAATATGAAACATCTGAAATTGACTAACTCAAAGATAGTATGCCACACAAACCAAGGTATCTTTTTTTATCAAAAAAGACTTGCCCCTTTGCTTTAACTCCTACCGAGTGCAGCTGACACACGAGAGAGAACACCTAAAGTTTAACCTCACTTATCTCCAAGCTTAGGATGTCCTGCCCTAGCTCTGCTGCGAGTGTGTTATTTATAACAGCTGCAGTAATGAAAGAGACAAGCTTGCTGCGGCATGATAAAAGACATTACACAAAAAAAATGAGGATGAACGAATCGATTCTTAACACCTCATTCTGTTGAAACCCTCTCTGACAAGCCCTAATATGTTTCTCTCTAATGCGGATCGATCTTGCAGAGTGGCCACTGGCTGCACAAACTAAAATTGTGAGAAATCTCTGCCTCCCGGCTCGAGGGGATGCCGCGGAGAGCCAGCCACTGGGTTTAATCAGAAATGAGCGATGAGAGTAGAAAAGGCAATGCCGAGCAGTCATTTTGTGGAAAAATGCTAAATTAGAAATGACACAGAGTGAGAATCATCTTTTCCAAAGATGATTACACCAGATAATAGTTTATTATGATAACAGAATGGAACTGACATGCTGCTAAGAGCTGGAAGTGTATCTAAGAAAGAATAATTGCTCCATTTACGCGGCAGGGCTGGTGGCTGGGTGAGCGAATCAGCTTAGACGAATAACCGCACACCTCAGTTTAGCACATGGAAACAAAAAACTGTCAACTTGCTACGGCTCTGCATTCTCTGACAACATTGCCTTTGCAATGATTTTAAGTTTAAAGGGATATTTCCATGAAGTAATATTATCATTTTGCACTGCAGACGCAGTAATTCTTCTGCCTTAGCGTCTTGGTCTGATTGCATTTCCAAGAAGTAATGATCATTAATGTTTTTCCTTGAGCTGCGAAACTC